CATCGATTGACACAACACACTCACATGGGGAGGTCGGCATTATTTTATTGGCGCGGGACCCACACCTTGACTATGAGAGGTGTGTCAACCTTTGTGTCAACAAATGTGGTCATTTGACTTTACTCAATGTAAAATGGGTTTCTCTTACCTTTATATTTTTTCTTGTTTTGTATAGAAACTAGGGCATGGGCCTTTTTCTAACATAACATTAACTTCTTTTACCTTTTTCTCCCAATATTTACTAAAATAACGCTATGTAGCCTCATTAAGGTCAAGTATTTGATGATTGGTTGAATAAAATGCGAAACTAAATAATTTATTTTAGTCGACCTATATTTTAATGTCACATCAAGCCACATAAACTGAAGTTATAATTCTAATGGGGCTAAATAACATTATTATATTTACTGTTGGTTTGTACATCGAATTTGATGAAACCGAGAAAGAAAGACATTTGAAATACTCCCATGAATACTCTTAATTCTGAAAACATGATTAACATATAAACACTTAATCTAAGTTTCAAACTCCTTCACCAATGGAGCTGGTAAGGATCATTACTCATTATTGATATTTGTTAATCATAAACTCTCCCAATATGGAGAGCCATGATTGGATTAAACTAAATTATCCTAGGGCTTCACATGTCAAAGTGAATGAATTTAGATATGAGAACAGCTTGCTACTTATGACTCCTATACAAGTTACATATATTTAACATTTTATATATGAGTTTTAAGCTCAAATTTATAATTAATTAATAATAATTAGCGGCGATTGAAATTCAATTAATCACCCAACTGCTTTTTAATTTGGTGGTATTGATTTTTTCTTGTACCTAATTTTTGTCTTAAAGTACTACTTTTCTCAACTCCATTAGTTTAAGTTCACATATAATACTAATATTCAAGAATCTGTGTTTTTCAAATGCACTATAAATTATTTGTTTCTTTTGGTAGGAGTCATGATGTTGCAAAATTTACGAACTATAAAGAAAATATTCTGTACAATGGAACTTACACAATTTGATTGAACGGCATATAAACTTCTAATGTGTTATCTCTTGCTAATTAACTTTGTTGGGAATTTTACGCCAATTTCATTTTTTCAATTTACCTGCAGGATCTTTTGTTGTTCAAGAGAATATTAGTAAACAAGGAAAAATAAAGAATATAATGCACAAAATAAACGGACAATCAAAACATTTCACTATATGAAAAATTGTTATAATCATATAGAATTTCACTCACCAACTCAATCCCCAAGTATTATAAGGAAAAATAAACTCAAGCTCTACTACACTTACTTTTTTTTTATCATCCAATGTACAAAAAGTTTCAAAATGCTAGACTCACAATATTTTCCCCTCAAATCAACCCTCTGGCCACACCCAAAATAATGAAATACATACACTATTTATAGGATTCATAACCAAGTAGAAGAATTTAATTTAAACTCAAATGACACTCCTTTAACTTAACAAGGATTTCTTCATGTGCAAGATTCCAAAATCAATTGTAAATTGGAGGTCAAATTCTACAAGAATTCTACTCTCAACTTTAATTAAAAGTCTTCCATACAATAACTACATTTTATTATTTGCAAGAGAAGTCCTCAAGCTTTTGACTTTTGTGGCAATATTTACCCAACAAAATATATCCATTTTTATTCAATTAAACATATTCAATGCAGTAAAATTAACTAATTCAAAGTTTTATTAATCTGTTCTTTTGGTGAAAGTCCTGATGTTGCTAATGAGGAGTTGGGCAAGTAAAACTGAATTGTCAAAGGACTAAGATAAGATTTTCTAATCATATTTACAAAGTTTTCTGGTTGTCTACATATATATCAATGTTATATAAATGTGATTTATAGCCATTTATTAATCAAATCATTATTCAATATCGACAAAGAATTGTGCACATTCATTTTCATAAAATTTAGTTTTTGTTTCTTTTTTGGACTTCCAAAAAATATATGCTATAAATCATAATATGAGACAAACGAATATTGAACATATTTAAGAATATAGTTGAAAACAATTATACATATACTCCATTGTATTTTCATGTATTTCTGCTTTTATAAAGTTTTCTAGGATAATTTGTACTTTCTGACATTCATCGCTTTTTCTTTCTTGTTTCTTAAAACTCAAGATTCGCATCATAATAGCATTAGAATTACGTGGACAAAAAATTTTGACATCCTTTTCTTCGTACAAAGGATATGCTCGTAAACTGTTTGTTTAGAACATGAAAAATGGCATCATTTTATATTTTAACATGTCAACTTTGATTATTTTGGAAGAAGGGTGTGTGACAAAACGTAAAGATAGATTCTCCAATATTTTCACGATCGTGAGCACATTTTTGAGCTACCCAAGAAGAGAATTTGTGGAATGCAATTAAAGTAAAGAATATGCATATTTCACTTTTCAAATCTTCTTTTGTGCTTATTTTCTTATCATGAACTTCAAGTAGCAGGCTACATATCAAAATAGATTCATGTAAATGAAACGGTCAATCAACTCATTGAAAACTTTAAATTAACCCATAAAGCGAGAAATTTATTTATTTATTCTTATATCTTTAGCATAATACTACTGATTTATTTGGTAGGGTGAATATTAGTGTATTAGACAATATTAAATAATACAAAAAGAGGCTAAAATCTCATTAACATTAATGTTTGTCCAGTCTATATTAAACACAGCCTACATGGGTAAAATGTTATCATTTTCTTGTACATGTAATGTTTATATACGAGTATCTGAAAAACTGGATTAGATAATGTCTATATACTAAGCTCGTGTTTGGTTTGACTTAAAATTTTGATAAAACTTTTAGTCGAAATAAACAATTAAAGTCAACTACACATTTTATGGGACTTTTATCAACTTTATAACCACATATTTCATCAATATTTATCAAAATCTAGTTTTGAATTTAAT